ACAGTTTGCTTTCGAGAATTTTGAATGCTCAATTCGACTTTGCACTCGATTCAAATCGCCACAAGATACCCTTAAATCTATTTTCTTTTAAGAAAAAACCTTTATCTCTTTCCATTTTACAATCGTTATACCTTTATGTGATTTAATTTACTTGAATTTACTTGAATTTGAAGTATTTCACTTTTTCCAGTGAGATTAAGACCAGTTTAAATCTCTGCGAACAGTCGACAAGATATAAGATATATTGAAGATTTACCTCCAGAAAAATCAAAGCAATTGACCCAATTTTGGCCAATCAAGGCCCCCCTGAAGTGTGGCGTTATAATTGTGGGCCACCATGTAGAAAACAGATCGTCTGTTTTCACTTAAACGATTTAGGCATTCAAGAGAAACCACTAACGAATAAGAAAATCTTTTTTCTTTCCCAAGGTCTATCGCTTTAAGGTCTATCGCTAGTTTTATAATTAAGGGCGGTCCACAATTATATCGCCGCACTTAAGAGGGCCTAGATTAGTCAAAATTGAGTCAATTGCTTTGATTTTTCTGGAGATAAATCTTCAATATATCTCCTAGAATGGTGATAATTATCTAATCGTTAGAGCTTTCAACTTTTCTATATAATCTCATCAATGAGTAGCGTGGCGAGCGAAATTCGGCTTTCAACTTTGAAAGGTTATATAAAAAAGTTGAAAGGTTGAATCGTTTAGATAATTGGTAGGGTTTTAGGAGGTATATTGAAGATTTACCTTCCGAAAAATGAGAACGATTGACTCAATTTTGGCTAATCTAGGCCCTCTGAAGTGTGGCGATATACCGTATTTACTCTATTAGTGGGGTCCCCCACTATTTTTTCAATCCCCTTCCAGACGACCCCACTATTAGAGAGGACCCCACTATTAGAGAGGACCCCACTAATAGAGTAAATACGGTAATTGTGAGCGTGTACACTGGTCGCAAAGCTCGCCCTACCGGCCAAAGCTCGCCCTACAGGCTAAAGCTAGCCCTACAGACCAAAGCTGGCTAATCTAGGCCCTCTTAAGTGCAACGCCAGAATTGTGGGCGTGTAGACTGATCACAGGGGCTTAAACTGGTCTGATCTTAGCGAAAGAGCGAAATTCGGCTCTCAACTTTGAAAGGTTATATAAAAAAGTTGAAAGGTTGAATCGATTAGATAATGGGTAGGGTTTTAGGAGGTATATTGAAGATTTACCTTCCGAAAAATGAGAACGATTGACTCAATATTGGCTAATCTAGACCCTCTGAAGTGAGGCGCAATTTTGATCATTTAACAACGAAAGTCTCCCGTTTCTAGTCGACTGAAATGTCAAGCTGGAGTTGAAATATCAAGCTAAATCAATAATTTATTGATTTATGGTCAAAGGGAAAGAGATTGGCAAGTTGATAAAGGTTTGCCAGTGATAAGAATCCAAGTTAGGCGCGGACTGGCTTTACTTCCAGATAAGGATCTTTTTTTGGCTTTGGCCTTTGGCCTATAGGGCTAGCTTTGGCCTGTAGCACTCTTAGCAGTGCTTGACCTAAAAAAAACCCTGCCCAATTGCCGTAAATACTCTAATAGAACGTCGTACAGTCGCGTAGTTTAACTTCGTTTTTATTTAAATGATTTTATTCTTTTCTTTCTTTTTTCCCTTTTCCCGTCTCGTAATTGATTTTTGGCGCTAAAAAGAACACCAAATTTTGATGTTTTTCGTTAATATCAAAGCAGAATCTTTTCTGTTTCCTCTAATTGTTGTTTTGTATTGAAGAACGAGGAGGAAATCACCTGTTTAGCTGAAAATTCTCTTGAAGTTGTGATTCTGAATGATAAATGAGAAATTTTTAAGTTCTAATAGACTTTTGTCAAAGAATTTAATCACTATTTGAATGTATTTGGAAGATTTTTCGTTCTGAAAGGCTTTGAAAGGTTTTGAAAGGTTTTGAAAGACTTTGAAAGGCTTTAAAAGGTTTTGAAAGACTTTGAAAGACTTTAAAAAAGTTTAAGAGGCTTTAAAATAATTTAAAAGACTTTAAGAAGCTTTGAAAGGCTTTGAAACGCTTTATAAGGCTTTGAAAGGTTTTGAAAGACTGAAAAAGGCTTTGAAAGACTTTAAAAGACTTAGAAACGCTTTGAAAGACTTTGAAATTTTAGGGCTAGCTTTGGCTTGTAGACCCAGCTTTGCCCTGTAGGGCTAGCTTTGGCCTATAGGGCTAGCATTGGCCTGTAGCCTAGCTTTGGCCTGTAGACCCAGCTTTGCCCTGTAGGGCTAGCTTTGGCCTATAGGGCTAGCATTGGCTTGTAGGGATAGCTTTGGCCTATAGGGCTAGCTTTGGCCTGTAGCCTAGCTTTGGCCTGTAGACCCAGCTTTGCCCTGTAGGGCTAGCTTTGGCCTGTAGGGCCGGCATTGTCATCAATCATCATCTGTAGCTAGCTATGGTGAAGTAAGCTGAGTATGAAAAGTCGGTAAATGAGTAAATCATTCGTTTCTCGATCCAAGGTCCTCCTCGGATCTTCCTTCTCCATTTCACATATGGGTTCTGTGGCATAGAAGACAAAAAAAGGAAGAAAGAAGAAGAGAAAGAAGAAGAGAAAGAAGAAGAGAAAGAAGAAGAGAAAGAAGAAAAGGAAGAAGAAGAGAAAGAAGAAAAGGAAGAAGAAGAGAAAGTCTATCTCTTTCCCTCTTCTCCCTCAATCGAATTACCCCTCGGGAGGCCGATTTTCCTCCTTTCTCTTCATTCTTCCCCCATCCTTTTTCAATGTGTTTTCTTAGCGTTTAGCTTTTTCAACTCTTTCGCAGACAAGGTAAAAATCAGGAATTCTTTTGCTTTAAATTGAAAGAGATCTTAGGATGTTCTTCCCTTTTTCTTCTCTTTCCCTTCCCTTTTTCTTCTCTTTCTCTTCCCTTTTTCTCTTCTTTCCCTTCTCTTTTTCTCTTCCTGCCCTTCACCATTTTCTCTCTATATTCTAAAGCTATGAGAGTTCCCTTTGAACCTTCAAGAACACCTGGAATTGAACCGATATTTTGGCCTTTAGATCGTCATTTCCTTATTTTTTGGCTTATAGACGGCTTATAGACGGCTTATAGACCAAATTGGGAAATATTGGGTTGGGGAGAATGAGTCGGCGCCGAAAATCAAAAAAATGTCTAAAACTTCTATTCGACTTCGTCAAATAATATGCGTTTGATATGAGTAGAATGGTTAACTAATTCTCTACAAAATCACATTTAAAAGAAAATTCAAACAGCGCCTCCGCTCAAGAAAAAGCCATTTTTTCACAAAAACTACAAACTGTGATCTAGAAAAAACCATTGGTGGGATCTTCCTGCAAATTTGGCAACTTAAGTAATTGAATGTGCTCTATCTTTTTTATATAAACACCAAAGAAGGTTTATGTGAAAGAAACTGTTCAAATGATGAGTCGGACTCTTTGCCATTTTAACCAGCTGCGTTTGGAAGTTCATAAACTCCACGAAAGAAAAGCTTTGTGGAATCTCTCAAAAGTCATTTTGTAGAGAAATAGTGGATCCTTTTGATGAAACCAAACGTATGTTTAAAGAAGGCTTTATGTGTGCAAAAAGTCCCTTTAAAGTTTGGCGCCGACTCATTCTCCCCAACCCAATAGAAATCAAAAATACATCGATTGTTCTACGATTGTTCTAATCATAATCGATTCTTGCAGGGATACTTACATTCTTTGCTTACTTACAACTTAAAGTACAAGAGTTTCTAAGCCTAGGCCTAGGCCTAGCTATAACAAGAGCTTGTATGACTTAACTATAAAAGGACTTCCACTTTCTGGACACTTCTTTCCTTTCACTCCTTTCCTTTCACTCCTTTCCTTCACTCCTTCCCTTCACTCCTTTCCCTCCTTTCGATAGATCGAATGTGTTTATATGAAGCACAAAGTACAAGGTCTATTGCGAACACTTGCTTGGAACTCGTGTTTAAGTTGAATTTCCGGAGAGGGAAAGGGGATCTCAATCTATCTCCGGAATACATATCTTCAGGGAAGAAATGCGGAGAAGATAGGAGAAAGAGGAGATCCCAATGAACGTCTTCTTCTCATTTTCTCACTTCTTCCTTCTCGCTTCTCCTTCTCACTTCCACTTCTCAATTTACCCCTTCTTTCCTTTTCAGTCTGACGTGATCTCTTTTCTCTTTCTTCTCCATACTTCAATCCCTTTTCTGTTTTTGATTCAAGTTATGCATCATCATTGTTATGAACCCCTTGAACTTCGCAGAAAGTTTAGATTTTCGATTATTAGGCTGAAGGCATGGTTATCAGATTGGATCGGATAGGCTCGGATCGAATCGGGTTTTATCGGATTGGATAGGATTGGATCGAATCGAATCGAAGCGAATCGGTCAGATCGAATCGGGTCAGATCGAATCGAATCGAATCGGTCAGATCGAATCGGATCGGATCGGATCGGGCTTTATCGGCTTGGGTCGGATTGGATCGAATCGAATCGGATCAGCTCCAACGGATCGGATCGGCTCGGATCGGGCTTTATTGGATTGGCTCGGATCAGGACCGATCCGTTTCGATAGATCCCACTGGGCCAGCCCGATCCAATCCGATCCGTTCAACCGATCGGGCTAGAACTGGGATCTTGAATTCAACGTAGACCAAAGCACATCGTGCTAATCGATACTTAAAGCAACGCTGAAGCCAAGTCTAGGCATGACTCATTGTAGACTCATTGTCAGGGACCTCCACCTCAGACTTGTAGGAAAGATATCCAGAAAGATATCCAGATCTCACATTACCAGCGTGCGCTACGGTACTGAGGTACTGAGGGCACGTAGCAGAAATCTGATTGCAGATTCGGATTCCTTGTCCCCGAAAACCGCCGAGTTCAAATTCTTTCTAGCTCATTTCATTGTAATTTTACGTTAACGTAATTTGTATTGTAGGCGTAGGCGTAACAAACGGACGTAGGTTTTATTTTTTGTATATAGTCGATGTTTTAAAGTTGTATTAGGTTCTTTTTAGGGTTTCAACCAGGTTTAGGACCAGCTCCAGGACCAGGATCAGCTCCAGGATCAGCTCCAGGACCAGGATCAGCTCCAGGATCAGCTCCAGGACCAGGACCAGCTCCAGGACCAGGACCAGCTCCAGGACCAGGATCAGCTCCAGGACCAGCTCCAGGACCAGGATCAGCTCCAGGATCAGCTCCAGGACCAGGACCAGCTCCAGGACCAGGATCAGCTCCAGGATCAGCTCCAGGACCAGGACCAGCTCCAGGATCAGCTCCAGGACCAGGACCAGCTCCAGGACCAGGATCAGCTCCAGGACCAGCTCCAGGACCAGGACCAGCTCCAGGACCAGCTCCAGGATCAGCTCCAGGACCAGGATCAGCTCCAGGACCAGGATCAGCTCCAGGACCAGGATCAGCTCCAGGATCAGCTCCAGGACCAGGACCAGCTCCAGGATCAGCTCCAGGACCAGGATCAGCTCCAGGACCAGGATCAGCTCCAGGACCAGGATCAGCTCCAGGATCAGCTCCAGGACCAGGACCAGCTCCAGGATCAGCTCCAGGACCAGGATCAGCTCCAGGACCAGGATCAGCTCCAGGACCAGGATCTCTTTTCCTGGCCTAGTCTCTCAAGAGTTTGTAGTCTAGGAGCTGACTGATTGCTTGAAAGCCGACTGGTAACTTGTAAAGCCAGGATCTGACTTTTGAGCTGTGATAGCTGTGCTCGTCTTATTTCTATAACAAATCTATCTATTGGCTCTCTTCTTGAATCAAATTATCGAGTATGGATTTCGTTAAAGTTAAAAGAGTTAAAAACTATCTTTTTTCACAGAAAAAACTTTATCCTTTTGATTCTTTTGAGGTTTTCGATGACGTTTTGGTCTCTTTTCCATCGTTTTGATCTTTTCCATCTTTTTGGTCTCTTTTCCATCAATTTCCCCTGAAATACATCAACTCATTTTGAGTTCTCCTCCTCCTCCTCCTTTTTTTGAGTTCACTTATTAGACTTTTCCCTCCGTTTTTTCCCCTCTCGTTTTTGCCCCCAATGAAATGAGAATACCACTTTTTGAATCATCAATTCTGAATTTATAATCAAAAAGAGGTTTGATTTGTTTTTGGAAAAGTGACTCATTCAAAGGATTCAAAGTTTTCAAAGGATTCAAAAGAAATTCAAAGATCTTTCTTTATTTCTTGAAATTATATTCATTATTTTTGTTCCATTGGATTATTCATTATTGCTTTTGTCTCCTTTTTGTAGTCGGTGTTCAAGTTGATTCGAGAATTACGCAAATTTTATTCATGAGCATATTTGGGAATACTTTGTTAACAAATCCCGGAAAGCTTGGTCTTTAAAGCTGGCCTTATCTGGCTCGCATCAAATCCCCGTTTTCCAAAGCTTACCTCGATTTTACAAGGCTTTCTTGACACTTGATTTGTCTGCATTTTAGAAAAGGATTTTTGGGTACTCGTAACTGAACCATTTACTATCTATGAAAGGGAAATGTCTATCCGTCTGTCTGTCTATCCGTCCGCCCGTCTGTCGGTCCGTCCGTCTGTCTGTCCGTCTGTCCATCTGTCCATTCGTCTGTCTGTCCCTCTGTCTATCCGTCCGTCCGTCTGTCTATCCGTCTGTCTATCCGTCTGTCTGTCCGTCCCTCCGTCCCTCCGTCTGTCCGTCTGTCCGTCTGTCCGTCTGTCCGTCTGTCCGTCTGTCCGTCTGTCCGTCTGTCCGTCTGTCCGTCAGTCCGTCTGTCCGTCTGTCCGCCTGTCCATTCGTCTGTCCGCCTGTCCATTCGTCTGTCCATTCGTCTGTCCGTCTGTCCATTCGTCTGTCCGTCTGTCCATTCGTCTGTCCGTCTGTCCATTCGTCTGTCCGTCTGTCCATTCGTCTGTCCATTCGTCTGTCCGTCTGTCCATTCGTCTGTCCGTCTGTCCATTCGTCTGTCCGTCTGTCCATTCGTCTGTCCGTCTGTTCATTCGTCTGTCCGTCTGTCCATTCGTCTGTCCGTCTGTCCATTCGTCTGTCCGTCTGTCCATTCGTCTGTCCATTCGTCTGTCCGTCTGTCCATTCGTCTGTCCGTCTGTCCATTCGTCTGTCCGTCTGTCCATTCGTCTGTCCGTCTGTTCATTCGTCTGTCCGTCTGTCCATTCGTCTGTCCGTCTGTCCATTCGTCTGTCCGTCTGTCCATTCGTCTGTCCATTCGTCTGTCCGTCTGTCCATTCGTCTGTCCGTCTGTCCATTCGTCTGTCCGTCTGTCCATTCGTCTGTCCGTCTGTTCATTCGTCTGTCCGTCTGTCCATTCGTCTGTCCGTCTGTCCATTCGTCTGTCCGTCTGTCCATTCGTCTGTCCATTCGTCTGTCCGTCTGTCCATTCGTCTGTCCGTCTGTCCATTCGTCTGTCCGTCTGTCCATTCGTCTGTCCGTCTGTTCATTCGTCTGTCCGTCTGTTCATTCGTCTGTCCGTCTGTTCATTCGTCTGTCTGTCCGTCTGTCTATCCGTCTGTCTATCCGTCTACCCGTCTGTCTGTCTGTCCGTCTGTCTGTTCGTCTGTCTCTATGTCCCTCCGTCCGTCCGTCTGTCCGTCTGCCTGTCTGTCTGCCCGTCTGTCCATTCGTCTGTCGTTTCATCCGTTCGTCCGTATGTCCGTCCGTCCGTTCTCGGCCAATTTCCATTTAAGTTTCTTAGACTTAGGATCCTATGCAATTATACATTTCTTATTTCGTTTTCTAAAAACAAAACTCCAAAAAAGGCGGGAGTCGAACCTGGAGCGTGTGAGCTGTGGAAAAGCGGAAAAGCTGCCGATTGTTCCGACGACCATGAATCCACGACGACCATGAATCCGGCGAGACAAAAGCCGGTGTTAAACGGGTTTTTCGGTTTTGCATAACCGACACTAATTTGCATTTAAAACTAGGCGGGAAAAGGGGCACATTTAGTGAAATTGCAATGGAATTGCATCGATATGAATTTCCATAGTACATTTTTTACGGAAGCACAAAAAATCCTTTGCTTTTCCATCGATCTATGCAAAGTGGGCAGGAAAAGAGTCACTTTTTTGCCGACTTTTCTTTTCTATTGGCATTGGTAATGGAAGAAACTCTCTGAAATGGGATTGGCAATGGCAAATTTCCATCAATTGCACATTTCCATCTATTGCAAACTTCCATCTATTGCAAATTTCCATCTATTGCAAGTTCCCATCTATTGCAAGTTCCCATCTATTCCACATTCCCATCTATTGCACATTTCCATCTATTGCACATTTCCCATTCCCTTTAAAGCATCAAACACTACAAGATCGTAAGAAATGTTTCCCAAGTCCCAAATAAAAAACGTAAACTTTTCAAGCGCTCAGATAGAAATCTGAAATCTCTGTCCCAAAAAGCACACTATCAAATTTCCCGTCGATTTTCCCATGAAGAGACTTCAGCGCTGAAATTAAATCTCAATGTTTTCCGTCTTTTTGAATGAAATTCTAGGGGAAAATTGGCGTTTTAGCTCAAGAATCTCACTTGTAATCGCCAATTTTCGACTCATTTTCGAGATTTTCGAGATTTTCGATATTTTTCATATTCTTTTTGTGACAAACTTTCGTCGAAACGAAAATAACAAAAATCCGATCAAAGGTTTTTGGAAAATTGTAGACTGTAGATTGACTATAGACTATTGTTGACTATAGACACTGTAGACTATTGTTTTTGCGCCTTTTTGATGGTCATTGATGCTCGATTTCGGTAGCCACTTTAAAGCTTAGCCCAGTCACCTTACGGCCCAGCCACCCAGCCGAAACCCTCAAAGCAAACCTATTTTTCCAAGCCTTTACGTCACTATGTCTACAGTCAACTCATTGGATTACTGTAACGCTTAATTGTCTTATAGGGTACGGTAGCTGAGTCACGCTTTAGAGCACAGGGTGCCTGGCGAAGTTGGCAAAGTGTTTCGTTGGCAAACCGGCCCAGAACAGCTGTGGACTAAGTTTACAATGAAGCCAGGCCAGGACCTGGGTTTTGGCCGGATCATGGCTTGTTGCACTTGTTAAGATCTACAAAACAGCACCAAAATTATGAGGATTGGCTTGAAAGAAAGTTATCGGAAGTTGCGCAGCTGCGCAAATGCGCAAATGACGCAGCTGCGCAAAACATTTGGCGCCCAGTAGACACCCGCGAAAATTGGCTACGAAAAAATCACGAGCGCCTCCTTATATACGCTGCCTTCTAAACGCCGCCTCATAAACGCCGTCTTATACACGCCGCCTTCTAAACGCCGCCTTATATACGCGGCCTTATAAACGGCGCCTTATAAACGTGGCCTTATAAACGCCGCCTTATATACGCTGCCTTATATACGCTGCTTTATATACGCTGCCTTATATACGTTGCCTTATATACGCCGCCTTATATACGCGGCCTTATAAACGGCGCCTTATAAACGTGGCCTTATAAACGCCGCCTTATATACGCTGCCTTATATACGGTGCTTTATATACGCTGCCTTATATACGCTGCCTTATATACGCCGCCTTATATACGCTGCCTTATATACGCTGCCTTATATACGCTGCTTTATATACGCTGCCTTATATACGCCGTCTTTTAAACACCGTGAAATGTAAAGATATTCAGTTTACTCGACGTTTAAAGAGGATTACTCATAGTAACTACTCGACCAAAAGCATCGATTAATCACGTAAAAATTACTCATGCAAATTTTTTTCGATTCGAGTAATTACTTACTCGAAAGCAACACTTTTTACTCCAAATTCTTCAGACACTTAATACCCAGAGACGATCGTGAAAAACCCTACAATTTGTAATCGATTTGAGTGAACAATGTTTCCTTAAGTAAATCAGAAAGTGAATGTTTGGAGTTGAGCTGAAGGGAGAGCTGAAAGTTGAGCTGAAAGTTGAGCTTGTTCACCAGAAAGGAAACAAGCTTAGTTATTGAGTTAAAAAATGAACTTTCGTCGTTTTTAGTCGATCTCTTCAACACAGCGTTCTTTGAGATCCGGAAGGGGAAATTTGGGAAAAGGAAAGGGGAAAGAGGTGAGCGAGGTGGGGAAAAGAGGCGGTCACCATTTCCGGGTCGATATTGCGCGAAAAGCTGAGGCTGAGGGGCCGAGGATGAATAATATTCCGATATCTCTAAGAGATTTTATCCCATTTATTCCTTTTCTATAATTTTTTCTGCTCTTCTTTTTGCTCTTTTTTTTTGCTCTCTTCTTTTAATAGCTTTCCCAGATGTGAACTTTTTGAAATCGATTTTTTTGTGACTTTTTATCTCTTTTAAAAGCTTATTCTTCTTTTCTGGTGCTATTTTGAACACTACATTTGCTTTGGAATGAGTGGGTGATGAGGAGTGAGCAACGCATGACGGGGAAAACATCTGCAGTTACAGCTGTTTCCCTTCCCCCATTAAATTCACCTTTCATTTACTAATCACCATTTTGTTCATTTCAACTTCGATACCGAAAGTCTGATTGATTTGAGCTTTCTGACGTGCTTTATCTTTCATTATGTTACTTTTGAAGCTGCTCCGGCGAGAAGATCGGATCCGGGCGTCCGAATCAAATTCAGAGGTCCGAATCAGATCCGGGCATCCAGATCAGCTCGGATCCAGGCTTTCGAATCAAATTCAGACGTCCGAATCGGATCCGGACGTCCAGATCAGCCCGGATCCGGACGTCCAGATCAGCTCGGATCCGGGCGTACAGATCAGCTCGGATCCGGAAGTCCAGATCAGCCCGGATCCGGGCGTACAGATCAGCCCGGATCCGGGCGTACAGATCAGCCCGGATCCGGGCGTTCAGATCAGCTCGGATCCGGAAGTCCAGATCAGCCCGGATCCGGGCGTACAGATCAGCCCGGATCCGGGCGTACAGATCAGCCCGGATCCGGGCGTTCAGATCAGCTCGGATCCGGAAGTCCAGATCAGCCCGGATCCGGGCGTACAGATCAGCCCGGATCCGGGCGTACAGATCAGCCCGGATCCGGGCGTACAGATCAGCCCGGATCCGGGCGTACAGATCAGCTCGGATCCGGGCGTACAGATCAGCTCGGATCCGGGCGTACAGATCAGCTCGGATCCGGGCGTACAGATCAGCTCGGATCCAGGCGTTCAGATCAGCTCGGATCAGCTCGAAAAGACTTTTGCACATGATTGTAGTTGACTATTAGCTGAGTTTTTGATTCTTTCCGGTGACGAATCGATTCATTTGTAGCGATAGAGTTGTTGGAGTTGTTGTCGATCCCACATCTGCCATTTCCATCTGTCCAATTTTCCCCTCATTTCCCTGAATATCTTCTCTTCTTTCTTTTCTTCTTTCTCCTTCTTTCTCCTTCTTTCTCCTTCTTTCTCCTTCCCTCTCCCTCCCTCTCCTTCTTTCTCCTTCTTTCCTTTCAAAATTTTCAGCTGCCCTTTTTGAGAATTTGATTTAGATTCCATTTTAGTCACAAATTATTTCGGAAATAGTCCTTTAAAGAACAATTTTTGACATTTTTTTCGAAAAACTTTGCTATTTTTACGAAAATTCTCTTAAAAATCTCATCATGACAGAATTTTTAATGAAAATTTCAGCAAAAAAAACGTTTCTTTTTGCTTTTTTTTTTGCTCAATCTTCTCAATCTGCTGTCATTCTCAGCAAATTTCCCCCGGCTTTTGCTCAATTTTTTTGCTTTTTTTTGACGTATTTGTTACAGAATTGTTAAGCTTTATAAATTTTAAAGAAAAGAAAAGAAGAGAAAAGAAGGCTCTTGCGTAGTTTGCGGGTACGAGAAAAATCCAGGGATCTTCAACGAGTCGCCCACTTTGAAGGCCTTGATCTTTGTCTAGAGATTATATTTCTTCTAACTTTTTATATCACTGGATAGAGAACGTTTCAGGCTTTCAAATGATACCAAAGGAAGCTTGATTCTATTTTTCGTTCCAACGCAAGCCAGGCAACACAACATAGGGAAAGAATAGGGGTATTTTGAACGGCTTGTCACACTTTGAAGCCCTAGAACTTTGTCTAGAGAGGATATTTTTTCTAACTTTTTATATCACTGGATAGAGAACGTTTCAGGCTTTCAAATAATACTAAATAAAGCTTGATTCGATTTTCCAGTCCAACGCAAACCAGGCGACACAACAGCCGAGTTGGATCGGCGTCATTTTTTCAGAGTTGGCTCTATTTTTCTTGGACTGAAAAATCGAATCAAGCTTTATTTGGTATCATTTGAAAGCCTGAAGTATCTTCTGTATAATGATATAAAAAGTTAAGAAAAATATGATCTCTAGACAAAGTTATAGGCCTTCAAAGCGGGGCCATCCGTTGAAAATACCCACACTTTTCCAAAGTACCCCTATTCTTTCAAGAGCCAAATTTTCTTTGCTATCATTTTCGATCATTTCTACCAATAAATTCTGAGCAATGAGAGCTTGTTTTTGCTTAAAACTAGGGAAACAAGAATCGTTTAAAATCTTAAAAGTTCATTGTCCAAAATTCATCGTTCAAAACTTTTACATTCCTTTTCTGAGAGCTATTTTTCGCCTCAAAGAAGAAAGATTTCCATGTTTCATTCTTCTATTTTTGTATTTCCAAATTACGCATTTCATTTAAAAGAAGAATAAACAGAAATTTTGAGAAAAAGAAAAAGAAAAAGACAAAAAAAAGAGGGGGAAATCATCAGGATTTTTGGATTTTTGGCGTTTCCCAGGAGACGCTCCAAATGAAAGACAAAAAAAATGAGAAAATACCGAAAAGAGGAGATTTTTTTCCGCTCGTCAATCACAAATGACTCATTTTTTATTGGAAAATAGGTGAATTTTCTGTAATTTTTTGAGTTTTTTCGAGTTTTTCCCATTTTGCCTCAAAATACCCGGGTTTCTTATGTAAAAGCCCTGCGCCAGACGACGAGCGATTACGCAGCCGCACAAGCTTTCTGTTTCTGCCGGGAATCGTGGTGGAAATTGGCTTGTTTGTTGTTTTTGGCTCTTTCGATAGATTAAACACTTTTAAAACTCTACATTTGAGGTTTTTGCTTAAAAAAATACCGACTGGGGCTACCAGTGGTGAATTTATCGCATACACGAAATATATCAATCACAATACAACGACACACACAATACTAGGCTATATCTTAACTTAACCCACGTCCATGACAGACGGCTCCCTAACCCTAAGCTCAATGGGGAACTAAATAGCTTTTTTGGTGGTGAAGGGAAGATTGCAATTTTCAATTTTCAAATTCAATTTTCAATTGCAATAAAGGCAAACCAAATTGTTCCAAGCGATCAAGGAAGCAAAGCAAGAGAAGATCAAGTTATTTTGAGAGTTTTGCATATTCAAAAGATTAGACAAACTTATCAAAACTTTTAAAACAAATATTTGTTTAGAAAAGAGATTTTCTAAACAAATCAATGTTCAAATCAATGTTTCTTCATCACAAAGATTTCCCTTTAGTAAAAATGAGAAAAGAGTCCCGATGATGAGTCATTTGCGTACAAAAGGCGAGCTTTTGAATCCCAAAACGACATTTGTACGATCAAAATCTAAGGAATCGATAAAAACAGTTTGATAAACAGCAATTTAAGGCTTTTAATGGAAATAGAGCATTTTATGCCTCATTTCTACAGGGTGACCAAGAATTACTGCAACAACTTTTTGGAAAAGTATCTGGGAAATGTCTAATTTATTTCAAAAGTGGCAAGTGTTATACAGAGAATTGTCTCGGCAGAGAAATTGGCAAGTGTTAAAAAAAAAAAAAAAAAAAAATACCGACTGGGGCTACCAGTGGTGAATTTATCGCATACACGAAATATATCAATCACAATACAACGACACACACAATACTAGGCTATATCTTAACTTAACCCACGTCATGACAGACGGCTCCCTAACCCTAAGCTCAATGGGGAACTAAATAGCTTTTTTGGTGGTGAAGGGAAGATGACGATGAAGGAGTGGCTTGTCACTTTAAAGAACTGGGGCCACAACCACCAGACTGCCCTCCAGAAAGCCTCTCAACCCGAAGGGAAAGGAAATCCGAAGGGGGTGACCATGTCGCATGTGGGGTTCGAACCCTCGACCTTCCGATTAAGATAAAAGACACTTAACCAGTCAGCCACACGTTATATTAGACGAATTATTCAGCGTTTTTTTTTACGGTTTTTACTATATAAAGTTAGTTTTTCTTGAAAAAATGACGGATTTTTCTTATTTTGTTTTAATGCATTCTAAACTGTCCCATTTTCCTTTTCTACCGTCTTCTCGTCTCTATTTTTAACCGATCTATCCATTTTTTGAATCTTTTGTATCTTTTGATATTGAATTCTTACAGAATTAGACAAAAAAGTGGAGAAAATGCGTATAAAAGGAACCCCCGCCCCTTTGCCATTGGCAATCTAGCTTTGAATTCAAATATCTCGGCTTTCGGCTGTCCAATTGAAATATTCTTAATATCATTGAATGCGCCAAGTCTTTTTCTATCGATTGGGACAAAAACCATGAAAATTGGACAACCCAAAGCGGAGATATTTGAGCTCAAAGTTGGATTGCCAATGGCAAAGGAAGGGGCGGGGCGACGGACCTTTCATACACGTGTTCGGCTGTCAAATTTCAATCTTTTTGGTATCAATCGATGCGCTAAGTCTTTCTCTATCAATTGGTATAAAAACTACCGAAATTGGACAGCCGAACGCCTATATATTCGAGCTTAAAGTTGGATTGACAAAAGGGGCGGGCCAGAAAGACCTTTTTTTACTCGCCCCTCCCTTTGCCATTGGCAATCCAACCTTGAGCCCAAATATCTCGGCTTTGGGTTGTCCAATTTCAATAGTTTTTGTCCCAATCGATAGAGAAAGACTTAGCGCATCCAACAATAAAAAAAGATTGAAATTGAACAGCCCAACGCTAAGATATTTGAGTTCAAAGTTAGATTGCCAATGGCAGGGACGGGGTGTGTATCAAATGTCTGATAACCATGGAAATCGGACCGCTTGCCCAGATCAGAGCTAATCAGAACCATTCCTAAACTGGCTTCTTGTTGACCCAGGGCGGGATGGGCGGGGCGCGTATAAAAGAACCGCCCTTCCCTTTGCCATTGGCAATCTAACTTTGAGCTCAAATATCTTGGCTTTGCTAAATGTTAGAGTTAGATTGTCAATGGCAAAATGGCTGAGGCGCGTATAAAAGCTCTTTCTGGCCCCGCCCCTTTTTCCAATCCAACTTTGAGCTCAAATATCTTGGCATTAGGCTATCCAATTTGAATAGTTTTTGTACCAATCGATAGAGAAAGACTTTGTGCATCTAATCATACCAAGAATATTTCAATTGAACAGCTCAAAGCCAAGATATCTGAGCTCAAATTTAGATTACCAATGACAAAGGAAGGGGTGCGTTTTAAAAGTCCGATGACCGCAAAACTTGGCTAAAAGCTTGAATTGAAAACAAATTCGTTATTTGCATTGCTTTCAGCATTTTTCAATTGATATTTTCCATGTTTTTGTTATTTTTTGATGCTAACCGTCAAGCATTTCCGTAAAATCAAATTTCCAGGAGACACCACCTGATCTCCTCATCTCTGCATCGACCCACCTCTCCCAAATCTCCGATCAAATCCCCAGATTGATCGGTTTTCTCATTTTTTTCGTCGATTTCTCTAAATTTCTCTTTAAAATCTCTTCATTATCAGCAAATCTGCCCGCCCAGGAGATTTCCCCGCCCCGCACTCTACTTATTCAGGTAGGAAAAAGGAAAATAGTAATTGGTGTTCTTTGTGCCAGCTCTTGTAAACCTTCTGCTGCACTGGGTCCTTCTGGTGCACTGGGTCCTTCTGGTGCATTGGGTCCTTCTGGTGCATTGGGTCCTTCTGCTAAAATGGGTCCTTCTGGTGCATTGGGTCCTTCTGGTGCATTGGGTCCTTCTGGTGCATTGGGTCCTTCTGGTGCACTGGGTCCTTCTGGTGCACTGGGTCCTTCTGGTGCACTGGGTCCTTCTGGTGCATTGGGTCCTTCTGCTACAATGGGTCCTTCTGGTGCATTGGGTCCTTCTGGTGCACTGGGTCCTTCTGGTGCACTGGGTCCTTCTGGTGCACTGGGTCCTTCTGGTGCATTGGGTCCTTCTGCTACAATGGGTCCTTCTGGTGCATTGGGTCCTTCTGGGGCATTGGGTCCTTCTGGTGCATTGGGTCCTTCTGGCGCATTGGATCCTTCTGGTGCATTCGGTCCTTCTACTGCACTGGGTCCTTCTGGTGCATTGGGTCCTTCCTCGATGAAAGTTTAGTCATTGCTGAGTCATTGCTTGAGTCATTGCTCTAGAAAGTAGACAACGATTCAGTAGAAAACAACGATTCAGTAGAAAGAACGGTGACAAAGTCTCTTTTCACCGAAGGGGACTCTTTTCTCTAGTATAACGAGAGAAAATCAAGAATTCTGCGCACAAAGTTCATCATCTGATGTCAAATCTTTTCCCCAACCTGTACCCAGACCATATTCTCCCTCAGATTTCTTTCAAATTCCAAGTATGTGACAAAAATCACAAAAAATCGGGCAATTCCACTAATGGATCCGAAAAGAAAACGAAAAATCGCGAAAAAAACGAATAAATCCCCGAGGGGAAATGGGGGAAATTGTGAAAAGACTCATTTTGTTTTCGCCGATTTTTTGTGGTTGAGTGAACCACAGACTTTTTGCTTTTTAGTTAGGTGATCGGAGCTTTGTATAGAGGTGAACTTTAGCTAGCTAAGCTTCAGCTTTAGCTTGAATCTCATAAATGAATAGCATGAGGCCACCGTCGAAGTGTTTCTCACTTAGAATCATTTCTCACTTAAACCGTTTCCATTTTCTCTTTCTATTGCAATCTCAATTTTATTTCCAACCCATTCACTTTTTGCTTCTCTTTATATTCTTTGTGAACTCTCATAGAATCAGAAGAAAAATAAGACAATATTACGGTGGACGACGTAGTAGTTTAGAGAACGAACGACGTAGTTTAGAGAACGAATTATGGGGCACAGACCTAGAAAGGACTAGAAAAAGTGCTGAGGTAAATAAAGAAGTAAATAAAGAACTCAATAAAGCCCCCAAATAAATATATTCCAACATTATTTAACTTTTCCTTTACACATTTTCTCTTTCAGACATCGTCGGGTGCGGCTGCCATCTCGACGGTGATTTCCCCATTGGAAAGCGAGCAACAACAAGCGGCATTTCACTCACGGTGCACAGCCGCAATCATACACGTAAGCTATTTACCCTCGCTAGCTATTAACAAGGGAAAAAAACTAGCTGAGCCGGCTAAATGCTATGCGACCTATACTATTCGACTCAGAATTTTCTGCTGATTCCGAATCTGTATTCCATTTTTGCTAAATGTTAATCTACGAGGAGTTATAAGCGTCTAAAGTTTTGTTAAAACTGTGGCCATTTGGGCCGACCATTTGGGCTGTTAACGACCACCTTGCGGCCTAACTCGGTGCAGGCTTGGCCAAGTGGTACGGCGTTGGTTTCCAGAGCGAGACCACGCAGGTTCGATCTCCGCTTGGGTTTTGGTTCTACTTTTTTCAAAAAGTGCTGTTGGGCTTCTTTGGGTCTTAACGGTCTTTTTGCGGGGCTGGTTCGTTGCAGTCTTGGCCTAATGGTAAAGCATTCGTTTCCAGAGCGAGACCTCACAAGTTCGATTCCCACTTCGGTATTTCTTTGCTTTTTCCAAAAAGTGCTCACGTTCATTTGGGTCTTAACGGTCTTTTTGCAGAGCTGGTCAGTTGCAGTCATAGCCGAGTGGTAGAGCGTTCGTTTCCAGAGCGAGGCCTCGCAGGTTCGATCCCGGCTTGGGCTTTGGTTGCGCTTTTTTTTCAAAAAAAGTGCTGATGGGTTTTTTTGGGTCTTAACGGCCTCCTTGCGGGCGCAACTCTGTGCAGACTTGGCCGAGTGGGAAAGCGTTCGTTTCCAGAGCGAGAGCTCACACGTTCGATCCCCACTCGAATCTTTCTTTTCAAAAAGTGTTGACTAGTCTTCTATTATTGTCAGCATATTCATTTTTGACCCTTTTTTTCTTTTTCCACGACATAATGTAGTAAAACTTATAGGAAATTTGTAAAACTCGATCTTTATGACTCGATTTGAGGACATTTTGTACTCAAATCACGTAAAAACACTTTCTAGTGCTCTAGCTTTTTTGTTTTTCTTCTAGTGATGCTTGTTTTTCTCTAGAATGCAAATCGATCCCTTTCTCTAGAAAACCAAGAATCCCGTGCACTAGAAAGTGTACGTTTATGCGATTTTAAGCACAAAGTACGCGTGAATCGATTTCTTTGACGAAATCAGTTTTTCAAAAAGGGAAATTTTTGCACAAAGTACGTCCAAATAAAGTAAAATTTTGAAAAAAAAGAAATCTCTGCATAAAAGCGATGCAAATTTGTTTAAAAAAAACAAAATTTTGTTAGAATACAGTAAGTTTTCGTCATTTTGCTTCAAAAAATGCTTCAAAAAAAGCTTTTTCTACTTCGAAATTTGATTTTTGAGACTTTCAAGGTCAAAAAAGGTCGAAAACGGTCGAAAACGGCATTTTCCCATCTAAATTGTAGCTAAGAATTACGGTTTTGCGAAGAATTTCATCGATTTTCCTTTTACTTCTCTAATTTTACGCCAATACATCTTTTCAGAAATAAAAATAAAAATGGCAAAAAAAGAATCAACCGGACAACGGGAATAAATTGGATTTCCCTTTTTGCCTTTTGGCCACTTTTTTTTGTTATTTATGACTAATTCACCGTATGACTTTTGAGAATTTTGAAGCTTATCGATTTTCGAGGCTTTTTCAGTGACAGATTTGATTATCTCGATACCTGAGTGCCTAGCGAGCGCCTAGCGAGTGCCTAACGCGTTTAGCTAACGCTCAAGCGACCTAGCCTCGTTCCTGTCATCGATTCCCGATTTTTACGCATAATATCTGACTCCAGCTTTTGGAATTTTGAAGCTTATCGATTTTCGAGACTTTTTTAGTCACAGATTTGATTATCCCGATAGCTGAGTGCCTAGCGAGTGCCTAACGCGTTTAGCTAACGCTCAAGCGACCTAGCCTCGTTCCTGTCAACGATTCCCCATTTTTACGCATAATATCTGACTCCCGCTTTTGCCTAGACTCACTAGAAACTCTTTCGAATTCACCACCGAGCTCAAGAGTCAAAGAAGTATCCTGAAGCGCCTCTATTCCAACGCCTCCACCATGATTAGGAGCTCCGACGGATCCACCGATGCCATCCGAATCCAAGCCGGGGTGAAACAAGGGTGCCCACTTAGCCCCATTGTCTTCAACCTGGCCCTCGAACCAAAATATCTCGGCTTTGGGTTGTCCAATTTCAATAGTTTTTGTCCCAATCGATAGAGAAAGACTTAGCGCATCCAACAATAAAAAAAAGATTGAAATTGAACAGCCCAACGCTAAGATATTTGAGTTCAAAGTTAGATTGCCAATGGCAGGGACGGGGTGTGTATCAAATGTCTGATAACCATGGAAATCGGACCGCTTGCCCAGATCAGAGCTAATCAGAACCATTCCTAAACTGGCTTCTTGTTGACCCAGGGCGGGATGGGCGGGGCGCGTATAAAATAACCGCCCTTCCCTTTGCCATTGGCAATCTAACCTTGAGCTCAAATATCTTGGCTTTGCTAAATGTTAGAGTTAGATTGTCAATGGCAAAATGGCTGAGGCGCGTATAAAAGCTCTTTCTGGCCCCGCCCCTTTTTCCAATCCAACTTTGAGCTCAAATATCTCCGCTTTGGGTTGTCCAATTTTCATGGTTTTTGTCCCAATCGATAGAGAAAGACTTGGCGCATTGAATGATATTAAGAATATTTCAATTGGATAGTCCAAAGCCAAGATATTTGAGCTCAAAGTTAGATTGCCAATGGCAAAGGAGCGGGGCTTGTATGAAATGCCTCACAATCTTTTCTGCAGGCTTGACCAGGATCAACTGGCCAGGATTAACGTAAAATCCTTTTCTCAAGAAGATAACTGATCACTGATATCCCGTAAAACCACTTTTATCCCTTGGTGGGCGTCTTATTCGTCACGCCAACACTTTTCATTGAACCAAAGATGATTTTACGAAATCCCCAATTTGTGAGGCTCAGGGGAATTCACTTCAAGACAAAAAAATTTCCCAAATCTCGATCAAAAGCGTCAACAATCACTTGGTACGCTGTAATTTGAGAGGGATGAATAATTTCGCGATAATGAGAAGACCCAGGTAATTGGTTTTGCTTTCCCTTTTTCTTTGTACAAGTTCTCGAATCGATTACAGACTCATTTGCTTTCGAATTGTTTGTTTTTGAGATTTTCTAGCTTAAATCTTGGCTTTATTTAAAGATAAAGTTTTAAATTTACTAAAAGTCTAGTGCTAGGTCTAGTGCTAAGCCTAGCACTAACTATCTAAGCTAATCAACACAGCTGCCAGCAATCTAACTTTAAGCTCAAATATCTTGGTGTTGGAGGTGTTCAATTTCAATCTTTTTGGTATCGTTGGATGCGCCAAGACTTTCTCTATCGATTGGTATAAAAACTATTGAAATTAGACCACCCAAGGTCGAGATATTTGAGCGTTTATGAATCCAAATGGGTCATAGGATTTTGCCATTGACAGTCTAACTTTGAGCTCAAATATCTCCGCGTTGGAGTGTTCAATCTCAATCTTTTTGGTATCGTTGGATGCGCCAAGGCTTGCTCTATCGATTAGTACAAAAACTATTCAAATTGGACAGCCGAACACCAAGATATTTGAGCTCAAAGTTGGATTACCAATGGCAAAAGGATATAAAAGGCCCTTCTGGCCCCGCCCCTTTTGCCAATCTAACTTTGGGCTCAAATATCTTGGCTTTATTAGATGTTAGAGTTAGATTGCCAATGGCAAAGGGAGTGAAAAGTTCCGTATAAAAGGTCCGTCGCCCCGCCCCTCCCTTTGCCATTGGCAATCCAACTTTAAGCTTAAATATCTTGGTGTTCGGCTGTCCAATTGAAATAGTTTTTGTACCAATCGATAGAGAAAGCCTTGGTGCATCTAATAATACCAAAAAAATTGAAATTGAACACTCCAACACGAAGATATTTGAGTTCAAAGTTAGATTGCCAATGGCAAAATCCTATGACCCATTTGGATTCATAAACGCTCTTCTTCTGGCAAACTGAGTCATTTCAGTGACACTATGCCGATGTGCGTTTACAAGAGCACAAAGTACAAGCTAAGCCAGCTTTGGATTGATTTCCCAATTCGCATATTTCTTTCGAAATCCGCTTTTTACGTTTTTCCAATATCTTTAGAAAGAAATGTTTTTCCTTTCCTTCCTTTTTTTTTCCAAATTGGGTTCCTCGTCTCTTCTGCTTGTTTGACTACAAAAATCTTGTTATTTTGTCATTTTCTTATACAAATTGACTACATTTTTTTCGAAGTCATGCGTTTTTTTCTGAAATCCTCAATGTACTTGACAATTTTCTTCCCTTAAAATCTCATTTTTGCTCAGAAATGTCAGTTTTGATCAACCGGCAATTAGTTGCGAGAAAATTTATCGTTTTCCTTTCAAATATTCAAATATTTCTTGTTTTTCACTTTTTTTGGCTAAATAAAGCTAAATAAAGCTAAATTAAGCTAAATAAAGCTAAATAAAGCTAAATTAAGCTAAATAAAGCTAAATAAAGCTAAATAAAGCTAAATTAAGCTAAATAAAGCTAAATAAAGCTAAATAAAGCTAAATTAAGCTAAATTAAGGCCATATTTCTTTTGGGAAACGATTCTTTTGATTCTTTTGATTCTATAAATGATTCTTTTGATCCTTTTGCTTCTTTTGATTCTATAAATGATTCTTTTGAAGCTTGAAAGAATATTAAAAGTTTTAAAAGATCAATTTTATAAACTCTGGGCTTTAGAAAATGAAAAGAAAATAAGGAAAATGAGGAAAATGAAAAGAAAATAAGGAAAATGAAAAGAAAATAAAGAAAATAAGGAAAATTTAACAAAAACTAAAGAGAAATTGCCAAATTTTACAGAAAACTGAGCACTTTTTGATTGAAAAATGAACTTTTAATATAAAAATGATCTTTTAATATAAAAATGATCTTTTGATATAAAATTTCGCATTTACAGGCACTCAGGCGCTGTTTCCCGCGTCGGGACGGTGAGGCGACGAAAGCCGATCACAGAAAGCACAAGCTACACCAATCCGGTGCCAAAGGCCTCGTCGGTGAGTCATTTTTGGGAAGATGAGTCAAAGAAAACGAATTTTAAACTTTATCATATCATAAAATGATATGAATAAGCCTTTATCATAAAATGATAAAGCCGTTTTGCGAGCTACGAAGCTGCCTTATTGCGAGCCTTATTGCGAGCCTTATTGCGAGCTCCATGAAATCCGCTTTGACTTTGACTCGGATTTGTTTTTGAGTCGACTTTAAAAGTGTTTTAAAGTCGAATTTTTCGACTTTAAAACATTAGCCCCTTTCAAATCTCTTCAAAAACGAACAAGAGAAGTGTAGATGATTTCTAGATATCTATAGATATCTATAAAGATCGATAGAGGAAATTGGATTGCTTAGGAAATTAGAAATTAGATTTTGTTTGAATCACAGTTTGAACGCGATCTTTTTGAGCTATAGATCGTCTCAATCTGACAATTATAAAGCAAGTTAGAAGTGTTAGAAGTGTTTGTAGTGTTTGTATTGCGAGCTACGATCCATGAAATCCCCTTTGACTTTGACTTTGACTTTGACTTTGACTCGGATTTGTTTTTGAGTCGAATTTCTCGACTTTAAAACATTAGCCCCTTTCAAATCTCTTCAAAAACGAGGAAGAGAAGTGTAGATGATTTCTAGATATCTATAGATATCTATAGAGATCTATAAATATCGGTAGAGGAAATTGGATTGCTTAGAAATTCGATTTCTTAGAAATTCGATTGCTCAACTTTTCAGTGGTCGAAGTCGCGGCTTCCCCATCGGGAAGCGCGCCCACCGGCTGCGCGGCACGCATTTTCGGCTTTGTTGGCGGCGGTTGGCGGTGAGTTTTGGCATAGAAATGCACATAATTTCTTGAAAATCCTCGAAAAATAGCAGTCCTCTCAAATTTAACGTTAGATTTTCCTAGAAAATGAGCTCCCTCAATCAGATTTCATCTATGAATAACAAGTTTTTTTGTTAAACTTCTTCCGAGCGTTTCAAGAGCTTCGAGCTTGATCCTATGCGGTTTTAGAAATATTAATGAAGGCCTAATTAGTGAATGATCACTGAATGAATTAACTGCAAAGCTATGACTCTACAGCAGGTGCAATTTGTTGATCATTGTAGTTGTTCCCGTCTCGGTCGAGTGATGGGTTCAGCCGCCTCTTCTTCCTCATCACCTGAACCTGATGAGGGATCATCGATCGCTGAAAGGATATCGATTTTCCTCAATCAGAAACCCCTCCGCATGACGAATATGCTTAAAGTGGCCAGGTAAACAGGGAAAATCTAGTTAGAAATGAAAGTTCACAACTAGAAGACAAGTTGAACTAGTTGAACAGTTCTAGTTGAGCAGTTCTAGTTGAGCTGTTCTAGTTGAGCTGTTCTAGTGGAATAGTTCTAGTTCAGCAGTTCTATTGGAACAGTTCTAGTTGAGCAGTTCTAGTTGAACAGTTCTAGTTGAACAGTTCTAGTTGAACAGTTCTAGTTGAGCTGTTCTTTTTCAACAGCTCTAGTCCAACAGTTATAGTCCAAGAGCTCTAGTCCAACAGCTCTAGTCCAACAGTTCTAGTCCAAGAGCTCTAGTCCAACAGTTCTAGTCCAACAGTTCTAGTCCAACAGTTCTAGTCCAACAGCTCTAGTCCAACAGTTCTAGTCCAACAGCTCTAGTCCAACAGTTCTAGTCCAACAGTTCTAGTCCAACAGTTCTAGTTCAACAGCTCTAGTTTTTGGTCAGTCTTGCCAGTTGAACACCTTCATTTCATAGTGGCAAAGTGAACTGAACTGAAAAAAAACTAAACGTTTCAAAAGAATAAAGAAAAAGTGATTCAACGAACTTTACCAAACCAAATTCCTCCTTCAGACTGATCAGCGACTGTAGTTGCGAGGAGAAGTTAGTGATCTTTGACGCGGGCATCGTGCACTCGATTTGTGATATGATTGCACAGTGTGGAGCGGTGGAAACAGGACTGACACAGAGGTTTGTTTAGCGCTTTAAAACATATTTAAGATACTTGAAATCATCTTTTTTTGAATTTTAAATAGATTGGGGAAACTGAGTTTTCAAAAAGCTGGAGTTTTCAGTTCGATTTACCATTTAAAACTCATCAATTAGTACCGTAGCGCACGAGGTTTTCTTTTAGAATTCGAACAAAAAAAGAGCCAATTTTCACCACTTTTCAATCATCCTTTTCTCAGCACTGGTTAATGCTAAAAAGCTGTGTTATATCACAAAAGAACACTCATCCTTTCTACTTTAATTTGACACCCAAACGCGCAGAAACAAACGTACTGTTTTCAAGATATGAGCGTTTGTTTCAGAATAAACTTAGACTACGCGACGCTCCCATTAAGGAGGGCTTCTACTAGAGTTTTTATAGTGAATTCATTTGCGAATGTGTTTTTCTTTGAATCACAGTTTGAACGCGATCTTTTTGAGCTATATATCGTCTCAATCTGATAATTATAAAGCAAGTTAGAAGTGTTTGTAGTGAAGGGTCGCGTAGTCCAAGTTTACTCTCAAACAAACGCTCGTATCTTGATATCAGTTCATTTGTTTCTATCAGCTTTGATATCAAATTAAAGTAGAGAAAATAGGGATTATTTTGAGATATAACACATATTTTTAGCATTAACCAGTGCTGAGAAAAAAATAATTGAAAAGTGGCAAAAAAGAGCCAATTTTCATCACTTTTCAATCATCTTTTTCTAAGCGTTGGTTAATGCTAGAAATCTGTGTTATATCACAAAAGATCACTCATCCTTTCTACTTTAAGTTGCTACCAAAACTGATAGAAACAAATGGACTGTTGTCGAGATATGAGCGTTTGTTTGAGAGTAAACTTAGACTACACTCCCATAACGAAGGCTTCTATTAAAGTTTTTATAGTGAATTCATTTGCGAATTAGGTTTTGTTTTATGTTTGAAATTTGAATCACAGTTTGAACGCGACCTAGTTGTTGAACGTAAAGATTTGCATCTGTTGTCTGACCAGAAACTGTTGTCTGACCAGAAATTAACACTTCGAAATGAATCTGGCCTTGGGTATTCCACCGAATTGACAGCATAACTTTACGTGAACTTCTTTACGTCAAAATCAGGTTTAGGCGTTGGCTTTGGAATTTCAGCTTTTCAGCCCGACTCAAGCCATTGTCTTTTCCTTGTAATATTGTCATAATCGATCGATTTCCAGATCAATGGACCGACAAGACTCGGGCGATGGTCGAAAGCGGCGACAAAGGCGAAATTCGGCGAGTAACTCGCATCGAGGAGTCGGCTATGGACACGGGAGCACGAGGAGTCGATGGGATATCGAGAGAACGGTCAGCCATTTACCGTAGCTTTACAGTAACAGCATAAAGTAACATTAAAGATGCCGGAACAAAGGTAGACAGTAAAGCTAAATATTCGTTGGCTTCGATTGGTGAATTTCAAAGAAATCCAGCGCTTTGAATGCTTTATAGAGTCAATAAAATAGCTTGGCTTTGATAAAAGCAGAGTTATAGAACAGAAATGAGAATTGAAAGCTTTGGCCAGACTTTGGCTTGACTTTGGCCTGACTTTGGCCTGACTTTGGCCTGGCTTTGGCCCGACTTTGGCCTGGCTTTGGCCTGGCTTTGGCCTGGTTTTGGCCTGGTTTTGGCCTGGCTTTGACTTGACTTTGGCCAGACTTTGGCTTGGCTTATCAGAATTCGATTTGGCAATGGTTAAACCTGTGAAATCATTCAAAAGCCAAGTTCTACCAAAAATCTTCTAGGTGGAGGAGCGATTGGCCCGGGAGGAGCACCTGATTTGGTTACTCTCCGCATTGACCGCCTACATCTACACGATTTCACCCGATTTCTCGGAGGATCAAATTGAAAAGGTAAAAGGAAAATGATCGAAAATGCCATTTCTGCGTTCCAGTTCGTCGAACACGATCACTTGACGCCGCCAGTGGTGAAGTTGATCGGTGAATCGGCGGTGATCCCCCTGCTCGAGTACCACCTCAAGAATGACAGTGTTTTCGATGTCTCTGAGCATATGGAAATCTACCAGGTGAGTAGATTGGATGCCGGGGAGAATTAGATTTTTCTGGATCACTTATTAGATTGGCAAGAGAGTTTTTGGGATGATTTTAGCTAGAACTTCTCAAAAAACGAATCCGAACTCAAGAACGTTTTGTTCCATTATTTACTCATTAAAAAAATGATAAAAACCATTCTTATAGAGTAAAACTAGCATAAACAACGCTTTGTTACATTCTTTGTTCCATTCTTTACTCCAAGACTCTAAGAAATTACTCGTAAAAACTCGAAATTACTCGCAAATGAGTGCAGCTTTCTCGTAAAGTTTGAGAGATTTTTGGAAAAGTATGATTAGTATTTTAGTTTAGATTTCCAGTTTACTTTTTGCATCATAAAAATTGCATCATGCATCGATAAAAACCATTCTGGTTGGTTAAAAACCATTCTTATAGGGTAAAACTAACATAAGAAAGCAATAATCTTTATTTTTGTCCAAAATCTTTTACAGAGAAGCTGTATTTCAAAAGAAAAAAGACTTACCGTAAATACTGTAATAGTACCCCACCCCTGTAATAGTACAGTCGCGTGTAATAGTACAGTCTGTAGTACCCCTGTAATAGTACAGTCGCGTGTAATAGTACAGTCTGTAGTACCCCTGTAATAGCACAGTCGCGTAGTCGCAAAAGTCGTGTAGTGTTTTTTAGTATTTCATTTTTTTTTCAAAGCGCCCGTACTTTCAAAAAAATGCGTCTTTGGTATCAAAAAATAGCTGAAATCCAGGGCTATTTTTTGATACCTAAGCGCGCATTGTAGCATAAACGAGTGTCGAGAAAAACTCGTTCAAAGCTAGACTACCCAACACTCCGCACCGTCATTGTGGGGCTGGGGTACTATTACAGTATTTACGGTAGTTTTTGATGTGATTTGAAGGATTTATGGCTTAATTGATGGCTTGATTTTTGAGAAATCACGATGCAAACTTTTTCTACGAACTTTCTTGCCAACCTAATAAATGAGAGTACCAGAAAGAGAGAAAGAGAGAGAAGGAGAAAGAGAGAGAGAAAGAGAGAGAGAGAGAAAGAGAGAGAGAAAGAGAAAGAGGGAGAGAAAGAGAGAGAGAGAAAGAGAGGAAGTGCGCTTGCTCCACTTGCACACAAAGCACAACCAGAAGAAATGCGTTTGCGTATGAAATTTTGAAATTTCAGCTCAAAGACCGCACCTCGATTTAGGCTTAAATTCGATTTGATTCGATTCGATTTGATTCGATAAAGATAGCTTCAAAATTCATCTAAAAACAAGTTCACGCTTTTGAGTGACTCATTGAATTGCAGGCTCTCCTCGAGACGGCTGCCGCGATGGCCACCGTCCCGTCGCTTGTCCCATATCTCGTCAAACCGTATTCCCCACAAGCGAAATCCGTGGCCAAACAACTTGTGCCGAAATTCAAAGAGATCATGTCCGCGTATCCGAATGTTTTAAAGGGACAAATGGGATCCCCGGATTTCCGCTTGATCGATTTCATTCATAAGGTTTGTTTTGGTCGAAAAAACGACTCATTCACTGTTTTAATCAGCATTGCGTTGGCTTTGTCTAGCTCGTCTAGCTTGTCTAGCTTGTCTAGCTTGTCTAGCTTCTCTAGCTTGTCTAGCTTCTCTAGCTCGTCTAGCTTGTCTAGCTTGTCTAGCTTCTCTAGCTTGTCGAGTTTCTCTGATAGTACAGACATTCATTCGCAACTTTCAACAGCCTACCTTGTCAGTGCCAGGCTTATCTAGAACAACTTTTGTTGAATAGTGAACAGCTTAATTTTATCACGTTAATATTAGAATATAGAATACTTTGGATACAACATTGACTATTTACTAAATTCAGATTGAGCGATACGCGGAAGTTGTGTTGAACGCGTCGCGCGAGTACGAGACTCAATTGCCGCCAGAGGAGCGAATTCGCACAGCTTCGACGGCTCGTCCACGAACGACACATAGTGAAGTGAGTGCAAGATGTTGAAGTCTCGTCATCTACCGGCTTTTCTCTAACCGTAGTGCACGCACCGACTTGCTTCCGGCTCAGGCTAATTGAAAGCCATTGGCTGAGCCCGAAACTAACGAAACTTTATGGTTTAGAGTAAAGCTAGGCAAGATCTGAGCCTTTTTTTGAATCCTCAACCAAATAGTTGCCAATATTATCCCATCAATTCAATAATTCTTCAAGAAAATCATCATTTAAAATGCAATTTATCATACAAATCTTTAAAACATTAAATTCTCCTCTCTTTCTAGGTTTCATTGAATCGTCGCTCGTTTGACCTTTCCGAGGAACGAGTCGATCCATCATCCGATATTTCTCTTCTTTACGGGAAAGCCCTTAAACACCTCCAAATGCAAACATATCGGTAAAAAAAATAAATTGAAATCAATAATTAAGCGATAAATAAATGTTTCAGATTTATCGGTGATTACGGGAAACTCGTCGTCCCGTTCTCATTTAAAAAAGAGGCCCGAAATGTGAATCCATTCTCGCCGGCGCTAAAAGGTTTGTCAAAAGGCGAGCCGTTCACTTAACCAGCATCTATTTTTCAGAGCGAACGAAACGAATCGCAAAAGAGCTGGCCTCGATGCCACAAGCGTTGCCATTGAACGCCTCAAACAGTATCTATGTCTGTGTCGATGAGGGAAGATGTGATATCATTAAGGTAAGGGGAAATGGTGAAGAAGAGACTCTTGATGAAGCCAGAGTAGGTCATACTTGGCCCAGGCCAGTTGCCCGGTTGTTGAGCTCAAATACCTCGGCTTTGGGTTGTCCAATTTCAATAGTTTTTGTACGAATCGATAGAGAAAGACTTTGCGCAACCAACTATACCAAAAAGATTTAAATTGGACACTCCAACACGAAGATATTTGAGCCCAAAGTTGAATTGCCCATGGCAAAATGGGCGGGGCACTCTTTTGATACGGCAACCTATATCAGAAGCCAAACCAGTTGCCTGGCTTAGCTGGGGCATCTCCAGATCACTTTTGTGTCAGATCAGATAATTTAAGACTAGTTTAAGAGTTCACCTAGAACATTTTCCTTTTCCAGGTGCTAATCTCGGGTCCCGACGACACGCCTTATCAAAACGGGTTATTCGAATTCGACGTCTTTTTCCCAACTAGGTAGATTTTCTAAAGAAATTTCTTGAAATCACCGTTTTCAGCTACCCTTTCTCTCCACCAAAATGCGCTTTCCTCACGACCGGCTCCGGGAATGTGCGCTTCAATCCGAATCTCTATAACGATGGAAAGGTATAGGGGAATTCACTTGTGCAGTGCTTGTAAACGCACGTCTTCGGGCGCTCGATTCTTTCCATTCCCGAGCGAAACAAATCACATGGAAAAAGGCAAAGAATCGATTGCTGAAGAATAGATTTGTTTAGTTAATTGATTTAAGCTCAAAACCATGTAAATGTGTGTGCAAATTTCGTCTTTTCAAATCCAGAGCAGTAAAACCAGAGTGACCGCGAATTATAGCGACTCACTTCTTCGGCTCTAGCTCAGCGAGAACTCAATGAATCTGTATGAAATTTTTGGAGATGATTTTTGAGTATCTCTCCTGTACGCAAACCCATTTTCTAAATGATTGCTGTTTCTAGAATCTTTATATAACCTAGCAAAGTTGAGAGTCGGAGAAATCGGTGAAAAACCCAATTTAATCGTTAAGAAATCGGTTTTTTCCTCTTAAAATGCTATAGATTTCTTGTTTTTTTTGATAGATAACATCAAATCAAGAAGTAAAAACGATAATGTCCTTTCAAAAACGACGTCATTCGATCTTTTTTCTTTAATTTTTGAGTAGGCTCGCTAATCACATTTTGTTAGGAATTTTAGTCAAATTTGACGACAAAAAATCGAATTACTATGATTTCTATGAGGTTTTTATTCTTCTATTTGATCTATTTAATCTTTTTTGCCTTATATTCATTAAAGAACTTCAAAAACGGCTCTTAAAAGCCTTAAATTGGGTTTTTCCCCGATTTCTCCGACTCTCAACTTTGTAAGATCATATAAAGATACTAGAAGCAGCAATCAGTTAGAAAATGAGCTTGGCTACAGAAGAGATACTCAAAAAACATCTCCAGAAATTTCACACGGATTCATGGAGTTTTCGCTGAGCTAGACCCGAAGAAGTGAGTCACTGCAGAGCGATCAAAGAATTTCCCTTGCAGATTTGCCTCTCGATTCTCGGCACATGGGAGGGTCGACCGGAAGAGAAATGGAATCCCTATTGCTCACTTTTGCAAGTTCTAATCTCGATTCAAGGGTTGATCTTTGTCAAAGAGCCCTATTTCAATGAGCCTGGCTTCGAGAAATATCAGGGAACGGAAAAGGTTCGATGTTTTTTCAAAAGGAATGTAGTTAAAACAGCAACACGTGTAATTAAACACAAATTTCTCAAAATCCAAAAAACTAAGCCGGTTCAAATTTTATCCCAAAAAATTCCTCGCATTCTTGGCTAAATGATGGGGAAAACAGTTTTTAAAAAAAGTGAATATATCATAGTTAAAATTAGCTTTCAAAATGTGTGCCCAGTGATACTCAGTTGATTCACTGAAGGTCTTTAGAGGCTATTTTTAGCGCTCTTTTTTTCTATTAAAACTTAACTTCTTTAAAAAACTGCTTCACCCACCATGTAGCCAAGAGGGCAAGAAATTTTTTGGTATAAGACTTGAACCAGCTTAGTTATTTGGTTGATCTAATTTGGTTGATCTAATCTGGTTGATCTAATCTGATTGATCTAATCTGATTGATCTAATCTAGTTGATCTAATCTAATTGATCTAATCTAGTTGATCTAATCTAGTTGATCTAATCTAATTGATCTAATCTAATTGATCTAATCTAGTTGATCTAATCTGATTGATCCAATCTATTGGGTTGGTGAATTGAAAACTGCCGGCTATTGTCATATGTCACAGCTTTTCTAAAATTTCTTTAGAAAGGCTTGATTAAGTTAGTCTGGTTCACTATTTGACCATTTTATTCATTTTCAGGGTGAGGATTACTCCCGAAAGTACAATCTTCAAATCGAACACGCTACATTGACCTACGCGATACGTGATCAGATGCGAAATGGACCCGAGTATTTCAAGGTAAGCACAACTTATCACATAGACATTCAGCTGCCAAGATTGATTATTGCTTTTCTTTGAATGAGTAGACCGTAGCAGTAGACTGTAGCAGTAGACTGTAACAGTAGACTGTAGCAGTAGACTGAAGCAGTAGACTGTAGCATAGACTGTATCAGTAGACTGTAGGAGCAGACTGTAGGAGTAGACTGTAGCAGTACTCTGTAGGAGTAGACTGTAGTAGACTGAGGCAGTAGACTGTAGCAGTACTCTGTAGGAGTAGACTGTAGTAGACTGAGGCAGTAGACTGTAGCAGTACTCTGTAGGAGTAGACTGTAGTAGACTGAGGCAGTAGACTGTAGCAGTACTCTGTAGGAGTAGACTGTAGTAGACTGAGGCAGTAGACTGTAGCAGTACTCTGTAGCAGTAGACTGTAGCAGCAGACTGTAGCAGCAGACTGTAGACTCAAAGCAGCGTAAAGAGTCAAGCAAATTCGCTAACAGTTTAGCAACTTTTCCGAATTCTAGAACGTGATCCAGCGACATTTCTGGTTGAAACGTCACGCGATCATCGAACAAGCGAAGCATTGGTTGGCCGAGATGCGAAAAGACGCGATTGAGTCGGAGAGAAATCCGAAGAGAAAAGATTCCGTCTCGTTCGACACAATGTACAACCCGTTCAATCAGGTGAGTGACAAGCTGAGGTCTAGCTGAAAATTCAGTAGCTATTTCTTCGGATCTTCTAGATCAGAGGCATTACAACCCTGTAAACCAGCCACAAAACAGACTAGGCTCAAAGCAAAGAAAAGCCAGATCGAAGTTGACTTCTGATCAAGTGTTGTTCAAAATCAAATGTTGTTCAAATTTTTTGAGTCCTCTCAACCCTTACTCGAGAACAGATGGCCTTAAAAATCATATTCAATAATATTTAATCGATCATCTTTTTCCAGGAACGCGTCATTCACAGTCTCATCACCGAACTGCAAACGATGACCTGTCCCGTTGATCAATGTGAGTTTGAAAAGCAAAAGGGAACGATTGACGAATCACTCACTAGCCAAGTTCACGAGCCAGCTAAGCAGTCTGAAAACTAGTTTTAAACGTTGAAAACTTACTAGGAAATGGCGCGAACCTAAGTCGGCGTCTTTTGCTTCTATTTCAAGTCTCATTAATGGCTTTCTAACAAGAAATTGTTTTTAAATCTCTTATTTCTTAAAATATCTATGATAAAATAACTTCTGTAAAGAATTAGACTAATTTCCAGATTTACTTGTGTATTTAAAGGCTCTGCATGATTTCTTAAAATTTCCAGACACTTCGAAATACTTAAACATAGTTTTTAATGTTTTTAAAAAAAAGCAATAAAGATTTTACGATGAGAGGATTCGAACCAGTCTCATCAGAAGCCACACGCGGGCTCACTATCCCGTACACCAACAAATAAGCTAGGGAACTAGATTTGGACTTGTATTTTATCGGAAAAATGCCGACTTAAGTTGGCATTTTTTATCTAGTTTAAGCAAGTGTTTTCTTAAAAAAATACAGAGTTAATGGTTTTTTTTCTCAAAACACAACTCGTTTTCAGAGATTTACTATATAAACGAACAGTGTCAGTCGGTCTCTAGGGGTTTCTCAGCCGTCTTTAGGCAAAAAAACTGAAATTTCTTTTTTAAAGTCTTAAAATATACTATAGTTGTGCGATTTAAACTAAAAAAAACTCAAAACCCAAAATTGAGCACACTACAGGGGGTCGAACCCGGCTCATGTGAGCCGTAGACAAGTGCGCCGCCGACTGCGCTACGGCAACAAAAGCGGCTTACTTGCAGAAACCGCTCATAACCGCCAAATTACAGATGTTTGAATGGTCTCTCAAAAAGCGATTATTCCATTTCCGACCTTCAAAAAGATTGAAAAGTTTTCGTGAATTTTGAAATTTTCCCACAAAATTGGTATTCTTTGTGTCTTTTTCGTGCTTTCCTTTTTCGATCATTTCTTTTCCGGAAAAAACACACAAATGGGTAGCACATAAAATCGAGATTTCTTTTTTGAATACCGTATCCGTATCTCCAACAAAAAAAAACGTGATTTTGCTTTAAACTTTCATGCTGAGTACGGTATTTAAAAATTTCCCACGAATTCTCGAAATTCCCTTCAAAAAAATCGATCTCGAATACTGGTTTCCTGAATTTTCTTTTCTTTTGGTGTACATATTTTTGGTAGACTCTTATTTTTTTCCGATAAATTCATTCAGAAGACAAAATGATCAAACGGATAAAGAAAATCGAAACAAGAGAATCGATTATTCGATTAAGCGTAATAAGTCTTGAGAAGTTTTATTCAGAAATTTAAAGAGAACAAAAACAATGTACAATATACCCGGATCAAAAAAAAAACCTGCATGAATATGCAACAAGAAAACGAAAAGTTACAAAAAATTCACGAAAATTTGCAAGGATAACAAATAAACAAAATTATAAGAAGTAATTGAGGTGTTTGTTGAATGAATTCTCGGTGACTTATTTAACTCTTCGGTCGTTTCGCATCGGGCGGACCACCACCAATTGGAGGAGCCTGAATTAAAAACATATTGTATATTGTAATTGTATGTTCTTGTAGAATATTGTAGTTGTATTTTTGCTATCATTTTTTTTACAGACCACGTATGTTCTATTATAATCCTTGTCCAGGTCTGAGCCAACCGTAATTTAAATCAAAGTACCTCAAAACCGGCTAGTAACGAGTCCAAATCATCGACTGATGCAACGGGCGCCGTCCATTCATTCGACGAGGCAACCATTTCTGTACCAACTGATGCATCCATTGCCTGAAAAAAGAAAATTATTATCAACGTTTGTTCATCAATTACTGAACTGCATTATCAATTAAAACTTTCCCAACCTCATTTCTCCCAGCCGCTCCATCGATGACGAACCCCAGCTCTCCAAATTCTTTTTCATCTTGCGAATTCTCATCGATCACTCCTTTCTCCGCACTCACATCCGAGATATAAAATGGAGTCCCAATTTCTTTGGTCGTCTCCGCGAGCATCGCATTCAAGTTTCGAATCCCCACCCATTGACAAAAGCGCTCACTTTGCGGATTCTTGTAGTACAAACTCGACGGATCGTTTTGCCTCACCTTTGTAATCTCTTTGAGCGGTGGAGCTGTGTGATAAAAATCCTTTGGTACAACGAGATCACCCAATTTGTGCGCATTCTCCAATTCCTCGTCAACTGGCCGGAAATCCCATCGTTCTTTGCTTTGTTTTGATGGTAGGTAGACTTTTTGTGAAGTTATTTCCGTCAAATGGTCCGTGCTCTTCAGAATCGCCAACCAAGTCGGATCGTAGTTGAGCTTCAATTCGGCATCTTCATTCACATCAAAGTCCAAAATTTGCAAGAAGTGACGTCCAGGGATCGGTTTGTCCAGAGCCAAGAATCTTGTCGGTTCCAATTGTTCTCCATTTTCCGTCTCGTGTGGTACCAATGCCGGAAAGCCGCAGTGCAGATGTGCAGCAAACCAATAGCGTGGTCGTAGCTCTTGCAAGAGTTGCATCGTCGACGAGTTGCCCAACTTGCATTGCTGAAAATAAAAAACTTGAGAGTTTTGATGTTTCATTTAAGACTACAAAGTTTCTTTTATTTTAGTCCTGCTTCGCAATGTTTTTATCAACTCAATCTATTGGGTTGGAGAGTATGAAATGGCGGCGTCTTTGGATGAACTTTTGAAAAAACTAAGCCATACTTTTTCTAATAGCAATTGAAGTTTTGTTGATTATGCGCCAAAATTTCATCCCGATCTGATGCCAAGTGTTTGCGAAATGGGGATGATGTGCCAAAGGTCGATTTTTGACCAACACTTAACGTGACGATGCTTATAATAAAAATACTCGACCAGTATCTAGTTAAAACGGCTATTTTATAAGATAACCAATCAAGTTCAATAATAAAAATTAAAGATTGAAAAAAGACGTGTCAGGGAATCAGGACAAGTTCTTATCCAAAAATTTTTATTTTATGTTTATTTTGGTTAACAAGTTTGTACAAACATATTGGCTCAAACGGTTTTTGAATGTAGCAAGTTATTGCAAATTTTTAGCGGTCTGGATTTTAAAGGAAAATTCGGCAAAAATCGACCTTTTAACGCATCCATCCCCATTTCTCAAAAACTGTTCATCAGATCGGGATGTAATTTTCGCGTCTAGTCAAAAAAACTTCAATTGTTATTAGAAAAAAGTGATGGTTTAGTTTTTTTCAAAAGTTCGAGTTCCAGACGCCGCCATTTCATACTTCCCAACCCAATATTTCAAGTTGCCGATAGTTCTTGCTAACTTGCTACTCATCACGCAAAATTTCTCGGCATAGCCAACTAGTGGTATTTAATCATATTCACAAACATAGGTCGGTACCTGAATGTCCTCTTGAAAATACGGCTTGAACTTGAGTAGCTGTTGAACGTCTCCATATTCGGTGATGCCGGCCGGCCAATCGTGTGAAACCACGATATCCACACAATTCTTTTCCTGTTCTCCATCCTTTTCGCGTAATTGTCGTAACCGGAAGACTTCGAGTGCTCGAACGTGGTAGGCCGAGATTTCTGACCCATTTGAGAACGGGGGTCGCTCGTAGCGTCCCTAAAATAAGCATGGTTAAAGCCATATTTTAACTTTTTACTTTACTAACTGGCTTGAAATTTGCCTAAAACTTTTCTTAGTGACAAAGTTTAGCAAGTTAGCACCCATGCCAACCCTCCATCAGTTCGGCAAAGTTAACTCTGCAGTTTAACTTTTTACTAATAAACTTTGAAGGCTGAAAACTGATACCTACCTTGAAGTAATCCATCGGTTTGAAAATTCCCGAAAGTCCGGCGATTCTCAGCCCTCCAAAGTCGAGCACATTTGCGAAGCCCATGTAGTAGATGTTCGGTGCAACCCATCCTCCGTTTGGCAACTCCAGAAGAAATCCAGAGGCCTCGTGATTTCCGCCGACAAATATCGTCAAGATTGGTGCCACTCCTTCGCCTAAAATAAGAAACTGCATGTTCACAGTTGGATTCGTTGACAACTTCACACATATTGCATCAATCTAGATAGCTTTATAGTTAAACTCTACCTGAATAATATTTGTAGAACGATTGAATCCGACGAAACTTCTGGTTAACGTGCATGTGATGAAGATCGCCAAAATTGCGCACCGACTAAATTTAAATAAGTTCAAACTTGGTGAAATCAAAGTAAAGAGCGGTAACAACGATAGATTTTCGGTTTTAAGTTTAAAGCCGCGAGGCTTTAAAGTTTAAATGCTTACCTGAAAATCTCCGCAGCAAATCACCAAATCGACTTTGATTGAGTCCCTCTTCTCGATCGATGCAATCGTTCTGTAGACCGTCTCAATCTCTCCGTGCACACATCCGGCAACGGCGATCTTGATACGTCGTTTCTGGCGATCCGTCTCTCCATCTTTTTCCTCGTTGATTGCTGATGATGAAATCTAAAATAAAAAATTACGAATTTTCTTTTTTACAAAACTTTAGGTGATCTTCAACCCTAATTCTAATCCAAGCTTTGGCTGAGAACGGTGCTTTGACAAAGCTAATACTTCTTATAACAAAGCCTAACAAATTCTAACAAAGCCTAACAAAGCCTAACAAAGCCTAACAAATTCTAACAAAGCTTAACAAAGCTTAACAAAGCTTAACAAAGCTTAACAAAGCCTAACAAATTCTAACAAAGCTTAACAAAGCTTAACAAAGCCTAACAAATTCTAACAAAGCTAACAAAGCTAAAAAGCTAACAAAGCCTAACAAATTCTAACAAAGCTTAACAAAGCTTAACAAAGCCTAACAAATTCTAACAAAGCTTAACAAAGCTTAACAAAGCCTAACAAATTCTAACAAAGCTTAACAAAGCCTAACAAAGCCTAACAAAGCCTAACAAAGCCTAACAAAGCCTAACAAAGCCTAACAAAACCAAAAACCCGATAGCACATACGGTTAGACCTAATCTAAGCTAATTCATAGACTAGATGCCAGTTCAACACCTGTTCTAAGCATTCGTTCAACTTGTTAACGTTTTAATTCAAAAACCTCACCTCATTCACTCCGCTTTGCTCATCGTCTTCCCCATTTTCCCCCGGTTCGTTTTTACTCGTCGTCGGATCGACACTCGAGCTCGGTAGAGAAGACATCTTAAAGGAAAAGGATTGAATCAACTGTTGAAAAGCCGAAGAAAAAGAAAAGTTGAACGACCTATTGAAAAAGAGGATATAGGTAAAATGATAAAAAAAACTTAACGAATCTTATCTAGATGGTTGTTTGATAAAGTAGGCGATAAAATCAGCGCTATATTGGTCAAGAAAGCTTGTTCACCGAGTGTAAATCGAAAGAAAACTTCAAAAGCATAAATCTAACACTAGATAAGGTCAAAGTTCAAAGCATTCAACCAAACTTTTCCTTAACTTTAGCAAAAACTAGGGTAAAGCGAGGATTTGTGAAGCAACAACACAGAAATGCAGCAAATTAAAAAATTTCGTCTTTCCCGCCATTTTTCTTTCCCTTTTTCTGGCTAAGGTAGCGAAAGGGTTCATTTTAGAATTCGAAAATTCGCAAATTCCATATTTTAGTCAATTTACTATGAAAAACGGGAGTGGGGAGATGCATCCCTTTTTCTTGCGCACCCAGACATTTGCGCACCTTTTTTTCCGCACCTAGCCCATTTGCGCGTTTTAAAGAGCTCTAAAAGCTAATATTAACCAATTTCTATTCCAAAAGTTGTTTTTCTAGGTAATTTGAGGGTGTCGAATTCAAATTTTGACATAACAGAGCGTGTGGAACCAATTTGAAAGACAAAACGGCTAGGTCAAATTAAAGAAAATTGTTGATTTTTCTCTTTGTATAACTCCGTCCGTTCGCTTCCACAAGCTCTGATATGCCAAAATTTCGATTCTACGCCCTAAAATTACCTAGAAAAACAACTTTTGGAATAGAAATTGGTTAATATTAGCTTTTAGAGCTTTTTTAAAACGCGAAAAAAGGTGCGCTAATGGGCTAAGTGCGGAAAAAAGGTGCGCAAATATCCGGGTGCGCAAAAAAAAGGTCGCATTTGTCCCACACCCTGAAAAACTCGCTCTAAAACGATAGATTTAAAATTTCTTTTGACTTTTCGAAATTCAACTAAAGAATTTTGAACTCGCGACTACATTTCGCACCAAAGTACACCCATTTCTGATGCTTGTTTGGTCGATTTTACCCCCGCCTTCAATCCATCAAATTCTTTTCCAAAAAAAAAAAAAATTGTTTCTATGTGAATCATCGAGTTTGCCAACAACGGAAAACTTCAAAAATGACTCAAAAATGGCAATTTTGTTCTTAATTTTCTTTTAAATCTCATCGCTACTCTTCGAATTTTGAAATTTTATTGCTTCTGCTTCAACAAACTCTTGTAAACGCAACCCTTCTGGCGCACACGCTTTGGAGTTTTCGGCTCAGTTACTTTCTGTCATTTTCTTAAAGCAATGACCTAGTATCGAGAAAAATTGAAGAATTGAGTGCGCTAGAAAAGGTACGTTCACTCGAGCTCAAAGTACATAACGTCTTCTTCAATTAAGATTTGATTTTGCTTGAAATTTTAGGCTTTTCTATTGAATAATACGCGTTTTCTTAAAAGTGGCTAATTTAGAGTTCTAAAAAAATTTAAAATCTAAAATATCGTAGCCTTTCTTTGAGAATTTATCCGTTCTACTTGATTTTGAGCTCATTTTGAGCCACAGTTTGATTGCGGATCGGATGAGCTCAAAAAAATAAGTGACTCAGACTAAATTTGAAGGAAAGAGCTCTTCCAAATTGTTCACTCTTTAGAAAACGCATTGATGAAGACACTCATTCCTTTCTAGACATTCCTAGACATCTTATTTTAGGTTATTTTATCTTATTTTCTGATAATATTATTGTTTCTTAGAAATTCACGTAAATTGCTTTGAAGATAGTGCTTAAATTCAGATTTATCATTCATTCATTTAACAAATTTGAAGTTAAATTAAAATTTTGCTATGAATTTATATTTGAGTAGAATTCCAATTCTTTTAAATTCTTTCTATAAATTCTTTTTTCTCTACTTTCTATTCTTCAGTCTCTACAATTTTTCTCTTCTTGTGTTCAATCAGTTTCTTATGTCATTTTGTCAATTAAACATGTTCCATTTTCACTTTTTCCTGCTTACAGGAAATATTGATATTGAGCTTGAGCTTGAGCTTGAGCTTGAGCTTGAGCTTGAGCTTGAGCTTGAGCTTGAGCTTGAGCTTAAGATTCAATACTGCTTTGTATTGTATTGAGATATAATGCTATTTAATACTATGAACGTTTGCTTTGATATTTCATTTCGTTAACTGAATATCCAATTACTCGATAATTTCAGCAGTCAAATGTCGGCCCCATCTCGGCAAATCAAATGCGTTGTGGTCGGCGATGGAACGGTGGGGAAAACGTGTATGCTCATCTCGTACACCACTGACTCGTTTCCCGTGCAATATGTGCCAACAGTGTGAGTTGAATGTCTATAAGGCTTGCTCTAGGCGTTGAACTCCTTTATCATGAACTTTTATGTTCAAATTCAAATTTTGTAATCACATCCATTCTGGTGCAAAAAGCGGACCAAAACTAGCTGAGTATAGTAAAATTATTTAAAGTATAAATGTTAAATTAGATATAAAGGTTTTTCGAATGAGAAGAACTTTAGACTGAAGCAAAGCTTTAAAAAAAGACAACCCAATACAAACAAATCCAGTTTTAAAGTGGTTTAAAAGTTAAAACAAATTAAAATAGCATTAGAGTTTAAAATTTTTCAGCTTTGACAACTACTCAGCGCAAATGTCTGTCGATGGGCATCTTGTCAATTTGGGTTTATGGGACACAGCTGGGCAGGTGAATAGAAATCATTATCGATCTAATGCTGCAAAATTTGAAAGACAAGCAACTGAATCTCGTTGTCGACTCAAATATTCTAGTTTTCAATACTGTAACGGCTCCTATTTCAAATTTTGTTCCTAGTCTCAACTCTAGAAAGTCCTACAAATTGTATAAATAATATCCAATCCAGAAATAGTCAGATCCATAGTTGAGACCAAAAATCAAGGCTGACCAATCCAAATTCAATGGCCTTCAATTATCCTTGGCCTGCAATTTTAACCTTACCGTTAGATTTGGCCTAAAGCCTTGATTTGGCTTGGCCTTAGCCTGGAATTTGCGGGAAATCAAGCAAAAATAGATTGACTTGCCCTGGAAATTGGCCTTTTTTGCTAACCTTATCAGAGTTGAGATTTCCAGGAAGACTACGACCGTCTCCGTCCGCTTTCCTATCCACAAACCGATGTATTCGTTTTGTGTTTCTCGGTCGTTTCAGCGGTTTCGTTCGACAACGTGACGTCAAAATGGATTCCGGAGATTCGCGCGCATTGCCCCGATGCGCCGATCATTCTCGTCGGTGAGTCAAGATTGAACAACTAGACTTGGGAATTTTCGGTGTGAATGCCAATAGGCGTGCAACGGAAAAATGGCATATCTCGGTCAATTTCACTCCGATCTTTTTGCTTTTGATATCAATTGTCGCAGAATTGAATTTTCTATTGATTGAAATCAAAGAGGAAAATATTGGAGTGAAATTGGCCAAAGTATAACATTTTTCGGTTGGATACCTATTGACGTTCACACTGAATATCCCCAGGTGTATCAATAACAAATCATAATCAATAGAATTGAGTGAGAAGCATTTCAAAGTAATTCAGAAACTACAAAAGAGATTCTAGGCACAAAAATCGATCTCCGAGACGATCCGACACAAACGGCCGAGGGACGAGCGCCGATCTCGAGGGGACAGGTTTGTTAGAAATACAGCTATCACTGAAAACAAAGTCTTATATCAATACTAGACTTGCATACTAGACTTGCAAACCTTATGTAGTCACTTGTACGACAAAAACTATGAACAAATCCTTTCTGGTGTACAGGGTTTTTTCTCACAACAGCGCCCTGGTTTCCGAAGAGATTGGTGTGCTAGAAGGGGTATGCTTGCGCTTTTCGAACGCAAAGTACCACCAAAAACAAACACAATCATGCTAATGACCAGTCACAACTATTCCTCATCATTTTTCAGGGTCAAAAGACATCTCAACGAATCAAGGCGATGAAATACTTGGAATGTTCAGCATTGACTCAGCAAGGACTGAGACAGGTTTGCAATCAATGTCAATGTCCAAAAACTATGGCACTAAACTGGCAATTGAGCCGAGAATTGAGCCGACAATTGAGCCGGCAATTGAGCCGGCAATTGAACCGGCTAACATTGTGCCAGATCACGTGTATTTATGTGAAATTCCCAGCTTTTCAGGTTTTCGAGGACGCCGTCCGCGCCGTCATCAATCCGAAACCCACGAAAAGAAAGTCAAAGTGCACGATTTTGTAAAGATAATGAAAATTCCCTTGATTTTGTGTTATTTATTTTAAATGCTAATTTATTTATCAATTTATGCTAATTTCCTCACTTTCATTTCCTCTTAAAAGGTGCTCAAAAAGAAAAAGAAAAACTTGTGCTTGACAAAAACAAACCTTGAACATTTCGCTTATTGAGATTTCCATGAAAATGCCTTATTTTTCAAATTCACTCATTTATATATGTAAATTTGAATTTTTCAGCAAATTTTCTTGAAAAAAAACCGGTTTTCCGACAATGAACAATTTCTCGTTTTTCTCTGTGAGCTTTCCATGATTTTTTTTTCTGATTCCTAAAAAGTGCCCAATTTTTCATACTGTACTTTTCATTTCATTTCCATTTCATTTTCATTGCCTAGTCTATAATTTATTTCCCCAATCCCACATCAAAAATGACAAACGGATTTAATGATTGCCTTCCTTTTCGATTTTTTTCCACTTATTTGATGTCTCTCTCTTTCTTCTCGCGGAAATAAAATGATGATGAATGGAAATGAGAAATTCAGCAACAAAAAAATAACTAATCTGTGTAGAAAGGCTAATGGATTAAAGATGTTTGCAACGATTTGTTGTTTAGAGGAGAATCGGCGCGCCAGATAGGGTGCATTTACAAGATTATGGGCTCAAAGTACACCTCTTGAATGTGAATCATTTTGCTCAACTGACTCCAGAACTTTTGATCGTTTTCCCGCTTCCCGAGTTGATCCAAATATCTCTGCCGATAGCCGAGCACCGTTTCCATATGCGTTTTGTGTTTGATGACCACCTCGAGGGCGCTGGAACGATTTTTTTCAGTAACATAAAGGTATTCAATTGAAATGAGATAACTACAGCGCGTTGCAAAATGATAGGACCACCCTCGATTTTTGCGATTTTTGATTTTAAATAACTAAGAATGCAAAACGATGCTTAAATTCGAATTTTATATGCAAAAGTATACCGTTTGCCAAATAATTTACTTTAAATTTAAAATTAAGGATTGTTCTTTTCCAATCTTTGAATTTTCAGGCAGAATGGTGAAACTTCCAGTCGAGATGCCCAATCTTCTCAACTTCCCGATGGGAAAACTCTGCTATGACCTGGTTTTGGAAGTAATCGATGAATTGGAGCCAAAAGATGTGCCCGAATTGATTTCAAGTTGACAGAAGACTTCGATGGATTCTTCTCCAGAAGCCAGCACGGATTTTTAGAAAAGGAATCCATTCGATTCACATTAAACTAGAAGATTCGCTAGATGATAATGGTCTTTTTGATTATACAGCTGACACCATTGTAGTCACGAAATTTCCTAAATCAATCTCTCTTCATTTCAATCTCTGTTCAACCTCTTTCAATGTTCTTCTCTTGTCACAAGTGGAAAGATAGAAGGGTCGTCCACAAGTGGAATGGTTTCTTGTCGAAATTTTGTGGCCAAGTGTCACTTTTCTTTTGTGAATTGGCAAAAATTTGAATATCTTAAAACCTCAATGAAACCATGGATTACAGAGTTGCAAAAAAATGTGAGCCAAATACCCAAATTCGAATTCTAAATGACAGCCTAGTGGGTTACGGTGTCAATTGATGGGATAAAAAGGAAATTTTGCGCTAGGGAAATCATTCTTTTCTTCTCCCCGAAAGTTATTGGTGCTCTTTTCTGCCATATTTTGCACTTTTCGAGTTGTTTCTTGTTAGAATAGACTTTTATGCCTTCTTAAACGCATATCTTACTCGTCTTCAGCATTTTTTTTGATGGCGTATCAGCTATTTTTGGTCTACGACACGCTTTTGCCTAAAAAGAACCACTGTTGAAATCCCTTGAGTCGATTTTAGCACATTTTAGATGTAAAACTTGGATTATTGTTGTTTATGCACTAAAGATCATCACAAGTTTTAGAGAAATCAAAGATTTTATCAAACTTTAGCTAAAAACCCGCATTTGTCCCTACCTTGTTGATTGTTTTTGTTTTGTAGCCAACTGTTCTGCCAGATATCTGTCGATTGTTCTTTTCTAATTTTTCAATTTTCAGGTAGAATGGCAGAACTTCCAGTCGAGATGCCCAATCTTCTCCGATTCCCGATGGGAAAACTCTGCTACGATCTGGTTTTGGAAGTAATCGAGGCATTGGAGCCAAAAGATGTGCCCGAATTGATGAAAGCTGACAGAAGATTTCGAGGGATTCTTCTCCAGAAACCAGGACGGATTTTTGGAAAACAAATCCATTTGATTCGCATCGAGATCGATGTTCGAGTAAGTCTGGATTACGGGCGCGAATACTACCGAGATCTAGTCTTCATCATGAAATTCGCTGAATCAAAGCCTCTTTCATTTTATTTCTTGTCACATAAAGTCCTATTCTTGTCACAAGTTGAACGATGTTCGATTTTGAAGATTTCAGACGTGGGATGGGGTGGCATTGATAGGAAAAAACTTTCGGCACTCAAGAAGGCCTTCGCCAATTTGAAACAAGTCGACGAGTTGGAAGTTAAGGTCGATGGGGACGATTTCAACGATTTTTTGTGGAATTTAAAAGCTGAAGTCACCGGTCGAGCAACATTGAATTTTTCCTTATTAGATTTACGACTTATGTTGTCTTTGATCAATGGAAGCCTTCAAAATTGCAGAATGATCTCGTTGGATCTAGATGATGATGCTGATTTTTGTCCAAGAGTTTATGAAGCACTTTCGAAGACTCAACTTGAGTTATTTGTGACTAAAGTTTTTTTCGAAAATCTCAAATCGACAATTGAGTGGATTTTGAATTCCGGAATTCCGAGTGAAAATAAGGAAGCCGCTTACTTCGTGCAAGGTGAAATCACAGTTGAAATTCGCAATTGGATCAAGAACTTTCCTGGAATTCGTCAGGTCAACGAACCAAACAAGACTTTCATCAGGGATACAACGATGGAAACGCTGAGAAAGCACGGGTTTAGGGTTAAGTGTTGTGATGGTTCTCGTTCTCGTTCTGTTTCCTTTTCTGTTGCTGATTCTGATCATTCTCGTTCTGATTTTGATCATTCGCGTTCTGATTTTGATGATTCTCTTCATTCTGTGGATCCTAGTCTAGTCCAGACACGGGTTCAGCTTCATGTTTATCTTGTTGGTCCATTTGATTGCTATTTGAAAAGAGTCGACGAGAAGCGTGACTGTATTTATTTTGTGAACGATAACTTTTTCTTCGCCAAATATGTTTCATCGATTCAATTCTAACTTTGTTTTTTGATGCCCCAATACTTTGTATTTTTTCACATTACTTTTATGACAGCAATTATTTAGTCTATGCCACCTAATTCCGCTTCTTTGCCAAAAATGTGCCTGTCGAAATTTGAAGTTTTGAGTAGAGATTTTGCTTGGTGAGATTTTATTGTGATATGTGAGTACTATTTTGTGATTTTTTTCACCTTTTGCTCTGTCTATGCCTAAATAAATGCTTGGTTCAATCAATAAAATGAAATGTAATAGCGTTCGACTTCAACGCTGCATGTATTTATTGAAGAGTTTGACTTTGTTTTAAACTTTAGAAACACCAATCGAGTTGTGATACATTTTGGATCGAATTGAAATATTGTTTACCAGCTCTTCGTGACGCCTTATGCCTCTTTTTGCCTGTTGTTCCATGTTTTTGATAAAAAGACCACAGGAAAGGGCTTCATGATAGGGCAAATTAGCTTGTTAACTCTGCCATAGACTTTTGAAAACGTAATTAGCTTTTAAGGTAGTTGTGACTATTTTCAGTCACTGAAATCGGCCCTTCTTATACTAGTGTGTGCCCAATCTAAGGATATTAGTTATTCGGAAAAGATTTCAAAACATCGAGTGAGTGAAGCTTGAAGCTTTGGGTTTCTTTGAGTGATGTTATCAACTCGAATGCCGTAAATAGTCACAAGTACCGCTTGAAACCAAAGAACTTATTTTTTATTTAACTTTTTCAATGCCAGAACGCATTTTTTAGATTTCGTGGAGGGGCGAGGGTAAGCGTTCAAAATATGTATAACAAACATCCAGAAAACAACAATAGCGCTATTTTGCATTAAAATTCTAATACTGAAAAATAAATAGCAATTGGATGCATTGCAGTATGAAAAATGCTGTCAGAGTTTCGTTTCCATTCAACAATCATGGTTAAGGCGATTTGTTTTTGTTTAGGAATTGTTGAAATTTCTCAGAAACTTTCTTCTGCTAGACTGTATCTTTTGATTATGCAAAGAGTTAAAGGCAGGATTATGCAAAAAATTTAGGGTAAAAGCCGATCATTTGGTAGAGCTGGCAGAGAGAAGAATCTTTGGCTGCTGCGATTTTTTCATCTGCTTCTCAGCCTTTCGCAACGTATAAATGGTGAGAATGCTAGAGACTTTCATTCATTTGGCCAACAAACATGTGATGCCCGATCCATAGTTGCGGCCCACCGACCATCATGAAGCTGTTGACGGAGACTGTGACTGCCTCCAAACCGGGCACTATGTGGCTGCTGACATATTCGAAGACGCCATTGAGAAAGTAATAGTAAGCCCACAGTAGGTTCCCACCAACTAGCTAAAATACGCTAAAATGAAACACGCTCATAAAATACGTCTACTACGGATGCGCAACTCGAATGCTGTCTCTTGGGGGTTACAAGCCGGCGGTTGCCTGTGCAGCGCTCCCGTTGTGACTCATGCTATCTTTACATCTGTTCAACCTGGGTACGCTTACCTGTGCAATCAGCAGCCTCTCCGCTTCCGATGAGATTTTTGTGGTCTTCTTTGAAAAATGCTAGTTTATGCTCTATTTAAACGTATCTCTCTTACTTGCAACTTCATATACATTGAAAGATCAATGGAAAGCAATAGTGGCACACCAATAAGACTTGGATCCCCTGAACAAAAAGCCGTTGACCGTAAATGAAACTCAAATTACCCCCAATAGTCTCTCAACCATCCGAGTCCAAAAACATAACCAAAAATAATGACGATCACCAAGTAAACGAGTGGATACTTCTGGGCTCTTGCAAAAAA